CTGTGAATTCCTACCTTCAGCTCACTGGGTAGCAAGTGCCCTCAAAACAAAAGTCACAGCCCTGGCTGGTGTGGCTCAGTGGATTGAGTGCAGACCTGTGAACCAAAGGGTCACTGGTTTGATTCCCAGTCAGGGCACATGCCTGAGTTGCAGGCCAGGTCTCCATTTGGGGGTGCATGAGAGGCAACCACACACTGATGTTTCTCTCCCTCTCTTTCTCCTTCCCTTCCTCACTCTCTAAAGAAGAATAAAAAAAATTTTAAAGTCAGCCTCAGGACTCCTTTACCTGCTTCCCACTTTTATTTTGTTTTTGGCCTCTGGGTATACCTTACTAACTTACATTTTTAATAATTTTTACATTTTTACTTTATCCAGTATTTTTAGTATTTTGAGCTGGAAGGCAAGTCATGTCATCTTTTATAAGTTGTATTTATTTCTAATGCTGTTAATAGGAGCAGAACACTAAATATAAGTCAGTCATGGCTTTAACAAATATTAATGAGCAATTATTAAGTGCCAAACAGTACTCTAGGTTCTTGAGATCCAGCAATGAAGGGAAAAAGCCCTTACCCTCAAGATGGTATTCTAGTGAACAGAATATGAAATTTAGATTTTTTGGCCTCCATAACCAGATAATTCATTATAAATCAATCTCCCCCCCTCTCCCCCATCTCTCACTTATTGGTTCTGTTTCTCTGGAGAACACCGTATAATACAAATCCAAAGAGAGGCTGTGAGAAGCAGCTGGACACATAAATCTTGAGTTAGAGGGTGAGGTCTACCTACCTAAATTTGTAGCACATAAACATTCAAATAGCATTGGGTTGGCCAAAAATTTCATTTAGTTTTAAAAAAATATTTTATATATTTATTTTTAGATAGAGGGGGAGGGGGAAACAGGGGAAGTGAAACATCAATGTGCAGTTGCCTCTCATGCACCCCCTACTAGAGACATGGCCTGCAACCCAGGCATGTGCCCTGGCTGGGACTCAAACCGGCAATGCTTTGGTTCACAGGCCTGTGCTCAATCCACTGAGCCACACTAGCCAGGGCTCTTTTAGTTTTCTTTTCCATATGATGGCTCTAGTAGTGCTCAGTTGTCTTTAACTTCATTCAAAACAATGTTGTCAGATTGTATTGTGACAACTGTCATATCAGCATGCATTGCTTTAAAAACTTATGAAAATTGGTGAATTTTTGTGCAGCCATTTTAATATTGAAGATTGAAGAAGATATGCAACATTTTTGGCATATTCTGCTTTATTATTTTGAGAAAGGTAAAAATGCAACTGGAACGCAAAAACAGATTTGTGCAATGTATGGTACAGTATATGGGGAGGGTGCTAATCAGCTGTGTTACATGATACTCACAGAATGTGAAAAATGGGGTATTGCCGATACTTAGTTTGCTAAGTTTAATTAGCAAATATATCAAGTATGGAAAGGGAGGAGATATTACTGTAATAATTAATGCTGCAAGTCAGAAGAAACTATCATTAAGGCCTCTCAGTGACCCCTAATTCACACTTTCCTGCAAAAGAAACCCAGTTCCCAGTGCCTCCTAGCTCTTACACTATTCCCATAACATATCTTTATATGATTTCTAGACCTTAACTGTTGCTCTGCTAATCTACTACCTAGATGATGGGTTGGGAATTCTAACTTGTACTTTCAAAGATATACCTTTGACTCACTCACAGTTACATAAAATTTTATTGCAACATATATGCATACATTTGTTCGACAAAATTAAGTGCCTGTCTTACACCTCACATTGTGTTAGTCCTGGAGGTGATGTGGTGAGAGAGAACAGTCTTGACTTTCAAGGAGTGCACACATGGAGGAGACCCAAACCATTACTGAACATGAGAAGTATACTAGGTACTGTGGGGAAAACAAAGGGGCGGCACTGACCTGGGGGAACAGGGGAATGGGTGACCAATGAAAGACGTTAAATAAGGGAGTTATATGATAACACTGCCAGGGGACTAGAGAGGAGGTGGAAAGGCAGCAGGAGGAATGCTGCTGTGGCAGTGAGGAAGGTAGAAATGTTGAACATCTGTAACAAGGCAATGGAAGAAGGGAGTCAACCAGAAAGTAGAATCAATGTATACTAAGGGGCATAGGGGGTCAGGGAAAAAGCGTCTGGTCTAGTTACCAGGTAGGTTTGGGGGCCTGTGAAGGGAGGAGTTGATGACTTTGGTTTGTGACTTGACTGAGTTCAGGGTGTAAGGTATCTAAATGGGAATGTTCAGTCATGAATTGGGTGCAAAATCTTGGACTCCAGAAAGGAAGCAGATTAGATATAAACATTTGGAATGAATCAGGCTCTAGTTAGCTAGACTCTGACTGGACAGAAGAGTGTGTAGACTGAGAAGAAAGGAGGGCAGAGGACAGAACTCTGGAAAAGTCTAACACTGAAACCATGGCTACAGAATCAGAAAGATACCATGAACGAGTGGGCACAGAGAGACAGGAAGCAAAGGCAAGAAAAAAGCAGAATCGATGCTATCAAGAAAAGGAAGCTTCTGAAAGAGCAAGAAGTCAGTGGTATTCCATGCCACAGAGAAGCCAAGATAAGAATAGAAATTTATTCCTTGGCTTACATGAAGAGAATAATCTCACCATAAATCACCTAACAATTAGTAATTTAAGGATCCTGAAAGGCATTTATTGCTATAACCAAGTAACCATCCACGTTTTATTTATGTCGTGGGCTTTTTTTGTTTATTAAAAGTAGTACCTGGTCTGGAAACAGCCCAAGTGCCCATCAGTAGATGAACAAATAAAAAAGTTGTGGTATATTTACACAATGGTATTCTACATGACAGTAAAAAAGAAGGAACTTCTACCCTTTGCGACAACATGGATGGATCTGGGGAATACTAAGTGAAATAAGCCAGTCAGAGAAAGACAAATACCATATGATCTCACTCATATGTAGGATCTAATGAACAAAATAAACTGACAAAATAAAACCAGAGGCATGGATACATGGAACAGACAGATCTGGGGGGGGGGGGGGCGGAGACAGGAAAAGATTAGCCAAAGAACATATATGCATATATACATGGTCCATGGTCACAGACAACAATGTAGTGAAGATGAAATGGGAGCTGGGTGGAGGGGGGCAAAGGGAGAAAATGGGGGACATCTGTAATGGTGTCAAGAATAAAACAATTTTTAACAAAATAAAATTCAAAAGTCCCTAAGCAAATCTATAATTATTTCAAAATAAAAAAGTTTAAAAAATAATCACATAATACAATACTTTTAAAGACCTGAAAATGTTTACAGGTTTGTTTGTTTTTTTTCCAGTAAGCCTCACATGACCTAAAGCAGGACTCAGAAACTTAAATATTCACAGGGGCCAGGCAAATAAAATGCATGGGTAAGGAAATTCCAGTATAGGAAAGACGGAAACAAAACTCAGAAACAGAACACATGTCCTTTCTAAAAGAAGCAGCCATAGCCAATTCCCACTACTTGGACACATGGACTGGTCTTAACAGGTCACCTGGTACTTTAAGAAAAGGCAGAAGTCTTCCAATTTTAAAAGTAGCCAACTGATTTAAATGTTTTTCAAAATGCTTTGTGAACTTATTTCAGTAGGTCCCAGGTGGCTCCTGGACTATTAGTTTCTTATCTTTGCCTTAAATTACATATAATATAGCATTTTAATCCTATACCTTAAAGGAAATTAAGTGGCTAATGAAAGTCTGATATGCAGTAAGACAACCAGATCTAGAATCTAGTTCTTCTTGTTCTAAAACTAGTATTTCTTTTGCTATAAATCTATAACTTCTTTATCTAACAAAGGGAATATATACCCAGGTTAGTCAGACATGCAAGTTAATAATCACAACATGCGTATTAAATTAAGAATGGATGGCATAAGCTTCGTGTTTATTAATCCAGATACTCTGGCTTTTCTGAAATGTTTTTAGGTAGACGCTCCAGAAAATAAATTACTGATGACTAATCAATTGTTTATGCCTCAAAAATTCGGCTTGAAATGTATAGGACACAAGTGTAAGCGATCTTTAAACAACATTGTAACTCAGCAAATATCAATATAAAGTTTTCAGAAGTCACATTCTTAATTTCTGGAGAAAAGTTTAATTACTGCAGGGCTGACAGAAAACTGGCTTGTGTTCCATAGCTTAGCTGTCATAGACTATACACACCCGTTCATTCAACACATATTGTGAATTTACAATTTCCAGTTAAGTAATGATTGCAAGCTTACAGAAGGGTGAGGATATGCATTTAAATTGTTTCAATGCAGGTTAAGTGCTACTGTAGTGCAAAAGGATGAAGCTAGTGGACCTAATTATCTTTGATGTTAACAGCCTTCAGAAGGAAATATTATCACGCTGATTTTGCCAAAAACAGGTAAGTCTGCCAGAGCCAGAGAGTACGTGTTCTGATTTCAATCCATAGCTGAGATTCCATGTACTTCAAAGGAATCGTTCTTCTGTATTTTCTAAAGAGTTATTGTCCTCCTTTGTAAATCAGCTTTTCCTTGTAGTCATAAAAAACGCTAGTTATGGCCTCAGAGTCCTTAGTTAAAGCCACCTCAACTCAATTACAGGCAACGTGTCAGGTTTTATTTTCCTTTGGGGAGTTGCAAACTAATTTAACTTAAAAGACATCTCCTGTGCAAATCTCGCCAGTTAGTAGAAGCTGAATCAATTCGGCGCCAGGGTCGTCTGAATGTAGACGCGTTTGCACAAAATCGAATCCAGATCAAAACCCACCAGCCTTGACAACGCAGTTTAACCGTCAGACAGAGCAGGACGTGCCTCGGGGTGTCAAGAGGCCCAGCTCGAACTTTCGCGCAGACTCGGGCTTAGGCGATAGGAAACTAGAGAAAGGGCTCGCTTTTTCGAAGTGAAATATTATTTATAGCCAAAACCTGAAAAAAAGAAAATAAAGCCGACAACAGCTGAGCTGCAGCGCGGTGCCGCCGCCATGCAAGCAGGTCTCACACCGCTCACCTTCACAGTCGGCCCCCGTGCGCCCCCCAGCCTCCTGGCCCTGTGTCGGCACCAGGTTAGAGACCCAGAGCCAGGCGCAAAAGGCCACCATTGCGGCTGGGCTCGCGCACCACATCCTGAACCGGCAGCTCCAAACTCCTCAGACACCTGCACCCAACGCCAGCTTCCAAACTATCGCCGGAAGCTGCTACAGTACTCCAGGGAGCGGAGCAAACCCGGAGTTCCTAGGGCAAATGACGCCAGTCAACCCACAGTTAGAAATGGGTCCCATCAAACTAGCAAAAAACCAGGCGGGGCGGAGGAGAGCTCCCCCCTCCTTCTTTTTTTTTTTTTAATTTTTCTCCCCGCCTCCCTACTGGCGCGTGCGCACTAGAGTACATGCAGTGCCTTATCATCGGGGCGTGGGGGGGAGAGAGAGAGGCACTAAAGCTATTCGTTAACTGCTCTGCGAGAGGCGGGACCTTCCCGCTGATTGGCGACGACGCGGGAGGCCGCGGCGTTCGGAAGGGACGCAGTGGGTGGGCGGGAACGTGAAGTCTCCGCGGTGCCTGATGGGGCTGTTGGGAGCCCGAGATTTGTAGCTAGCCGGCGAGCACTCTTTACTGCTGCTACCGTCTCTGCCGCCTCATGGCGGCCATCGGAGTTCACCTGGGTTGCACATCAGCCTGTGTGGCCGTCTATAAGGTGAGGGAATGAGGGGCTGGACTAGGGGCCTAATGTCAGTCACCCCGTTCTCTGAGTGCGAAGCCAGGTCCTTTGGTTACCTATGGCGTTGTGAAAGGCATGTCACCGGCCTAGGAAGGTCGCGCGGAGAGGCGCTACTGTGGGGAAGTTTCGAGGCCAAGAGCCGGGCGGACCCGACCTTCTCCCCTGCGACCCCGGAAAGCCAGCTGCGCCCTGGTGGAGGGTCGTGAAGACGCTTCCGCGCGGAGTCCGCTGGAGGCCCGAAGCTGTCTCGGGGACACCGTGGTTTCCACGAGGCCCGGAAGGGGGCGGTCCCGGGAACGTCAAGGCCAGAGGAGGCTCAGAGGGGTCTTGGGGACGTCGTGGGTTCCGTGAGGTGTGGAAGGGTCTCGAGGACGTCGCGGTTCCTTGAGTCCTGGAGGGGAGCGGCCCCTGGGACGTCGTAGGCGCGGGAGGCCCCGGGGTTGGGGCGGTCCTGGAGATGTCAAGGCTGCAGAAACCCGGAGGTTCTCAGGGATGTAGTGGTCGCAGGAGGCCTGGAGCTTTCTGGACGTTTGCTGGGAAAGGGCGGGGTGGCCGTCATCTGGAACTAGAGCTGTGAGCTCTAGTTCACCTGCATGCCCGTGCAGCATGTGAAGCGAGTTGATGGTGCATGGTCTGCGTTGACTTTTGGCCTTTCTGGAAATTAAGAGAGCTTGAGAGAGTTGTGGCCTTCCTCTCAGCGGGGAGACGGGAGGAACAATAATACTGCACTTACCTGGCACTTGCGTTTAAATGTCCAGTGATTTGTAGGGAAAAGGCAAAGGGATTAGTGCCACTTCATTTTTTGTAGAAAGGGGAATAAAGATGTATTTGCAGAGAAAGGAAGAGAAGTAGAAAGGGTGGTGTAATAAGATTTGTTTTTGGATAAAGATAGGTTGTTACTGTGTTTGTTCCAATTCTTGACTTTGCAGAGAAGACAAAAAAAGATGCGGCAGTTTTTCATGGAATGTTGGCCTTATAAGTCTAGGAAATTAATAGTAGCAATTAAATCTACAAGTTTAAAACTTTGATACAGCAGTTTTTCTTTCCACATATATGGCACAGTAACACTGGCAGAATACGTCTGAATATGCCTAATGAGGCTATATATTTTATTCCGAAGAACTAATGTAGTTGTGTGTTTTTCTCCAGGATGGCCGGGCTGATGTTGTTGCAAATGATGCAGGAGACAGAGTTACTCCAGCTGTTGTTGCTTACTCAGAAAATGAAGAGGTACTGTTCCCCCTCATTCTTGTGCCTTGAGATAAGTAAAAATTACATGCATTGTAATATATTACTCTTTTTCAGGTTGTTGGATTGGCAGCAAAGCAAAGTAGAATAAGAAATATTTCAAATACAGTAATGAAAGTAAAGCAGATTCTTGGCAGAAGGTATGGAGTAAAATATTATTTTTACATATGGTAATAAAAATGTGTTTATACATTCTAAACATAATGTGAAATGAAGCTAGAAGCACTTTGTTGTTGTTGTTGTTGACAACTGAATCATTTCAGAGAGTACCCCAGTAGGCTGTTTCTTTCGATGATTAGTACTGAGTCTTCTCAAGGATGGGATTCACTCAGACTTGCTGACAGTTCTGTTTGTATTGACAAATGCCAACATTCCTTTAGTTCTGACAGCTTGTGTCATTCAGAGGTGGTAATTTGGACTCTTTACAGCTTTATATTTTTTAACTGAGGGAACTTGAAAGATTTTGTGGGAATTTGATGACTTCATTGCCTTGTGGTTGAGTGCTAAGTCTACTATATTTGGTCATAATTTGTGTAGACACTGGATTTTCTTCCTTGGGTTCTTTTGTGACACTTTCAGGGAACTAGCTTTTCAGTGGCTTACAAATTTAATCATTAGAGAAATAGCTTAATTAATGTTTTAAGTAAGAATCAGGTTAATAATCTGCTATAACTTTAATTAAAAGATTAAAGAGGCCTGCTTCCCCAGACTCATGTCTTCTCAAATTATAGATTCCCACTATAATTAGGGGGTTTCAGTTTCACTGGACTAGTAATACTTGATATAGTATTTTTTAAGTTTTCAGAGTGCTTTCACATCTATTATTTTATTTAATCCTCTCAAATCCCTATAAGATTGGTAAGGTAGGTTTTAATCCTTCCCCATTTACAGATGAGAAAATCAAGGTACCCTAAATTAGTTAGAGGGGTGAACTAGATAGGACTGCAGTTCAGGCTTCTAACCCTTAGCCCAGATTGTTTCCTTTGTATGTTGTTCGGTTGAGAATGTAAATAGAAGTCTCCTTATGTTGATGTTAGAATTTGGGGATTACAGATTAAATTTAATATTTTTATACATAAGATATTTTTATTATTCCTTACCTGTATGTAGTTAAACTGAACTTGACACTTTTTTTCCCTTAGGGTATCTGTGCACCAAGCCAAAAACTGTAGTATTTAAGAGCAAATTCAAATTTTTGTAATGATGAAGACAAATTAGTTGGTGTCAAAGATACTCAAATTGTAAATAAAAAAAAGCAGTTAGTTATAGATAATTGAAGCTAGATTCACTTTAAGCAGCTGACAATATGAGTTTTTCATTGAACTTTTTGAGTAATTGTACATACTGTTATAAGAAATAATACAAAGAGATCCTATGTATTACTGGATTTACCACTTTCTCCAGTGATAACATCTTGCAAAATATAGGGTAATATCACAAGCAAATACATTGATCCAATCAAGATCTAGAATCTGTCCATAGATTTATATCCCCTGGTAGCCCTCTTTGTTTTATGCTGCTGTTTTGGGGTAGACAGTTGGAGTAATGATGTTGTTGTCTTCTATATTATACAAAAAGTTTTATATTAATAGGAATAACTTTTCTGGCTCTAAAAGATATCTTTTAATGAAGCAGTGCAATGGTGACAGTCAGATGGGTAATATATAGCCACAGCATGCTGCTTAGGCCAAGATTAGTGAAAGACGAGCACCCTTCAAACAAACTGCTACACCGTGGTTCTGCTAGCACTTCTTGAGAGTAAGCGGCCTCATGCTCCAGGTGTTTCCCATCTCCGTCTGTCTGCTTACAAGACAATGGTGATTTTTACAGACACTCAGTTGTACCAGGTTTCAGCCTTGGAAGCATTCTGTCCTTCGTGGAAGAGCCAGTCCCCTTGTTTATCAAGCCAGTAAAGCCCTTTTTAGTCCCTGGTCCAGTGTCCATCCTGGATGAACTCCCAGAGTTAGGCTTTCTCAATCTTGGCATCCTGTTTGTTTGCGACCTACTTACAGGTAGCATTGCTTAACTTGCTGCCACAATTATCCTTACTATAACTCTCGTTCCCCTGTGGCCTTCCAGCCAGAAATTTGGTCCTTGGACCTGGCTTCTCAGCAATTAGCCCTAAGAGGGAAGAATCTGCTGTCTCCTGGAAATAGACTGAAAGCACCCAGAGCTTCCCCACCCCTTCAGATTTGGCGCCTTGCTGCCCAGGAGCTTTCTTCAGCTAGCCTTCCCAGTCCACTATGGCCAGTTCCAATAGCAGTGCGGGCATCCGATGGTCCAGACAGGAAACACGAACTCTTCTCTCCATACTTGGCGAGGCAGAGTACATTCAACGCCTCCAGACTGTGCATCACAATGCAGATGTCTATCAGGCTGTGTCTAAGCGAATGCAACAGGAAGGCTTCCGCCGCACGGAACGTCAGTGCCGCTCCAAGTTTAAAGTTCTGAAGGCATTATATTTAAAGGCATACGTTGCCCACGCCACAAGTATGGGTGACCCACCACACTGTCCATTTTATGATACATTGGATCAGCTTCTCCGAAATCAGGTAGTGACTAACCCAGACAACTTAATGGAGGATGCTTCTTGGGCCAAACAGTATGATCAGAACTTAGGGGTCTCTGACACCCCAGGGGAAGAGGGAACCAGCATTCTGAGAGCAAAAAGCACTCAGGCAGCAGATCATCAGCCTATCTCGAAAGCAGTTAAGGAATCAGATGAGGATTGTCAACCGAGAATCAGTGACCAGACGCAAGAAACCAGTGACCTTGAGGACTCCTGGGATGAATCCTCAGGCGCAGGTAATTCCCAAATATGTGAAGGATTGGGGTCCCAGAGTCACTTGGTTCTAAACAGTATATGTTTGGGTGGTGTTCCTTTCAGCATCGTCCCTATTTTTTTACCACTTCCCTCTTTTAAAAACCTAATAGTAAGATAAGGAGCTCCAGATATTTAAAAGCTATGACTCTAGGTATATAAAATATTAGAACTCTTTAAATGTAGAAGTACTCTTTAGAACCAAACTATTTTGGAATTATTTATAATGGCTAATTAGTCATTTGTGGATATAGAGTGGGTTGGATAGCGAAGTGGAAAGGGGCTCAGGGAGGTAAGGGGGAGGTTTTGGAGGAAAGACTACAATAAAATAAAATGTCCAGACCAAGGAGATGAATTCTTCCCAGTCTGTTGTGGAAGGAGGCCTTTCAGGAATGACCACAGTTTTGTAATTGTCTCTCAGCTCTGCTGCTGGCTCCATGCATTCCATTAGCAGGAATGTCCTCTCTGCAACATTGTTGCTTTGTTTTTCAGGGTGCTCTCAAGGGACCCCCAGCTACAGCAGTTCCC